ATGCATCTCATTCGGAAAAAGTACTTCGGCTATGGCATTATCATATTTTTATACCTTTTAATTGGATTGTGTTTGGATACATGGCTTGGACTTGATATTTGTACTAGATATATAGTCTTGTTGATTGGAGCATGGTGGTTGCTTTTAATGAAATCCTGTAAATTTATATTGAATTCTATTATTATGACATCAGCCACAAAATTTGAAAATAGTGGTTATGATTTCTGTCAACTACTTCGTCACAAATATTTTTTTTTATTATTTTTGTTTATTGGTGACCAACTCTCCGATCACCCTTCATTTCTTAATATTCAAAACTAGTGACCAATTATTTCGTCAGCACGTTGGTCACCAAAAATTGCTGCCCGAGCTGCCCATCAAAATTTTGGTGACCAACTAATCCCATGGCCACACACTCTCAAGAGTTTGTCACCTAAAGCCTTCAGCGACAACGCTTAGTCGACCCACAAAAAGTAGGTCACCGTTTGGTCACCAAGGATCTTTAGTGACTGGACTTGGTCACCAAAGTCTAATTTAGTGACCAAAATTTGTCTGTCACCAAAACCTATTTTTTTTAGTGACAACCAAGGCTGTGTTCCGTCTCATGTCTGAGAAATGTCTCAAACTTTTACCAAAACAATCATGTGGATGAGGTAATATGTATGATACTCCCCATCCCATAATTATTGTGCGGTTTCAATTTTTATTTTTTAGTATAATTTGTATGAAAAGTGAAATTTCAAACTGAACAATAATTTTGGAATGGAGAGAGTAACACAATTGTTTTTAGTAAACTTTCTATGTCCCCCGTGCTTTTCCTTAATGAAAACATAGCCTTTTGTAATTTGTTTTATTTGGTTGCTGTTGTGAATCTGTCTTGTATTCTGTAGCATTTTCACAATACTGTTATAGATGACAATATTTGTCTGGCTTTTGTGGATTTTATAATTCTCTACTAGTAAAACAGTAGTATTTATGTTGTTACTTTTCCTGTTTTTAGTAATAAAGGTCATGATGTCTTGTGTGCAGAGATAAAAAAATAGTGTGTTTGAGTGTGTGACTTATGAGTCAACAGGATATCATGATATTTATTATGTTACCTTCCAAGCTTCACGAAATGATGATTCTTCCTACAAGAAAAGGGAAACCTTTGGAGCTCAGTTTTTTGTCAGTCGCATTCCTGATGAGAGAAGAGAGGTGCTATTTTGCGAGCGACAAGGTGCGGCCGAATTTATACATTGGCAAAAGGACAAGGCTTGCAGCTTGCGGACTTGTTTGCTATGATAAACGGCTCCCTCTGGTATGTCACAAATATCCTCTTCCTTGAAGGAGCCCTGTGTGGAGGATCCTGGGGAGTACTCCATTTCTCGCAATGATAAGCACCAGTGGCCAGTGTAGAACATTGAGCTGCTGCGTTTGTGTACTCCCATGGAGGTTTACCTAATGAGGCAAAGCTTCGTACTTAAAACAACAAGAGGCAATAGTGCGACGAGTTCTAATTGCACAACATTTGTAACGGAAGAAGAAAATCAGCAGATGTAACAACTGACTTGGTGGCCTCCAGAATATATTAGCCGATATGAAACCAATCAACTCGGGAACAATTCCTGAGGCTTCAACTGCAAATTTTGTCTCTTCGTTATATCACCTGCAGTTTGAGAACAAGTCACATGAGGAGCGGTCAAAATGGCCAGGAAAAAGGAACTACTACATAGTATTGAAATACAGGCAACTATGACACCTAAATTCAGCAGGCCATGGAACCACATTGCTGTGTTCATCACCGAATGTTCATTTCCTATACGTACTAGATCTAACATGCACGAAATATCTCCTACTTTCCTTAAGGTTTTAATTATTTTGTCTAAGGATATTTTAGTCATTTTAATTTAGTTGATTAGGGTTTATTTCCGACTTTTGTAATCTATTTAAGGCTTTGAGCCGTCATTGTAAGAGTTGGTTGTTGATTTTTATAAAATTTGAGAGTTCATTTCATTTACGAAATTTCCTGGTTTATATAATGGTGGGATTTTTGATGTCTTAAACAACGGGTATTCATGTGTCGAATCAATGGTGTTTAGGAGGATTGTATTTCTAGGTATTCGCAGAATCAACGAATCTACGACGCTTACTTGTTAGGGTTCAAAATTAAAGGCTTCCACTCGCTACGTCACTCAGTCGGCGATGTATGACGCCACTGCGTTAGAAATGGTGATGAAATTTTTATTGCAAGAAAAATAATACTACCTCTTTCTTTAAATTATTGTCCAATTTGAATTTTTATTTTTTGTACAAAGGGAACTAAGAGGGAAAATCTAAATTGGACAATAACAGAGGGAGTACTTGTATATAATTATTTTCCAAAAAAGGATTTTAGTAGGTACATTATAATAGCCGTATTATCTCAATTAAAATTTGTATTATGTAAATTACGGTTGTGCCCCAATGTAATAAAGTTGTTGATGTCATCGGTTCTATTTGACAATCCAGAATTCCAGATCAATCGATATGATGTCGGGTACACCGCCATATCAATGAAGATCTCGTTACATCCACTAGTTGATTAAATCAATTTGTTTGGAAACATTAACAACACCAAAGAGGTTTTTCTTTTTGCTTCTTTTCTTAATAGGAAAGTTAATGTTGATAGCTAGGATGAAAAATTTTTGAACTGCGGGGAAAATGTTAAATGTGTATCATTGTAATCTTTGTTTGCAACCTCAACAACCAACAATAAACAGAAACCAAAACCGTGGTTTTCAAAATGAAGGGAAACAATCAAAAAAGTAGGAAGTTACATAAAACACTATCATTAATTAGTTGGTCAATCCAGTACATTATTATCAAACCAGATACAAGAACAATCCGCGCATTCAGCACTTCCATCTTTTTACCTTTTTTTCCCACCAAGAAACGAAGTTGTGTATACCCTTCTTTCAAAAGGGGAAAAAAAGAAATACGAAGAAATGAAGTAGCATGTGGACCGATTCTTTTGTAGTGATTTGGCTTATAATTAAATAGATACGTGCAAGGTGTATACTTTAATTTATTAATTTTGTGTAGCTGGAAGGATGGTAGTGATGATTGATTCCAGCTACATATATTGGAGATCACTTTCAATGATGAATACGTTATTCTTAACTATTATAATATACTTACAGCCATGAATGAAATATTCCTTAATCATTCAGTCAATAATTAACGACAACTACTTTTGTTACTATAAACGATAAAGCTAACTCTAATTTTGGTGGCCGGCCTACATGCCAAACATGAAAATGGCTAAAATCCCTTTTCTTACCTTTTTATTTCTTGTTTGCCTGGTTTTTGAATCATTTTCATCAAGCATCCTCGTTGTCGCAGATGGAGGTATAGGAAGCCTACTTGATGATGTTGAAGATGCTGTTAACGACGTAGTTGAAGGTGTTCAAGGCGCCGTTGACGGCACAATCGCAGGTGTTAAAGGTGCCGAAGATGGTGAAAAGGGAGGCAAAGGCAAAGGGAAGGGCAAGGGCAAGGGCAAGGGAAAGGGGAAAGGGAAGGACGACGCCGGGCTGAATCTTCATAGGCGGCGCAGCTAGAAGAAGTTTGTGTATAGTTGCATCAAATTTACTTTATAATTAAGGTGCCCACGAAATGTTAATTCCAAATCTACGAATCCTTGAAGATTCAGATTCGTAATTCCTGTTTCATTTGGTTAATTTAATTTGCTTGTTTCTTGAGAGTCTTCATTATTGTATTCTCTTGCTTATAATTGTTTTAGATCTGGTTGTAGTTTAATGAATACATTAAACATTAATGTATATCAACACAATACATCATGGTTGTAGATCGTCTAACAACTTCAGGGTCGTTTGTTGAATTACTATGTTTCGCTATTTCTTCTTTTCTTTAATTTCGGTCATTAGTCAATTGGTATTTGATACTATCGTATCATAATAATATTTCAAATTTTATGGTTCAATTTCCGAAACTGAACTTATGAGATTGATAAATTGATATGATATCCTGAACTTATCACAAAATTGAGTGAAAAGGACGAACTTAACTCTTAAGGTGATTGTTTCTGGGGCGGGTCCTTCCAGTTGCAAAATGTGCACACTTTTTTCATATCAATTGCTGGAGTTTTTTTTCTAAACTAACTTAATGTGTCGAATCCAGAAATAACCTAAACTAAAACAAAATTTCTTGCCTAACCATTTGTGTTGTCACGTAGACTTTGTTCTAGTTTCCACATCTCATTTTGGAGTCCTTTCCCGGCCGCCGCCGTAGCTCTTCTCCTACACAGTCCCTTATTTTGAAGACCGTTTCGCTGTTAGGGGACTTAATTTTGGTTGGGTGTCAAATAAAAAAGGTCTCTAGGTTGGAAGAAGCAAGAGTTTATCTTGCAAGTTCCATTGATAAGAATTTCCATTTTTGAATGGAGTGGAAAGCAACAAATTTTTCGGGCTTCTTCTAGTGAAATTAAATGCCTTTAGGGACGAATTTGTTGTCTTCTTGATGATTAAATACCAAAGGTGTTGATTTGGTGATTGAATAGTTGTACGGGAAAATGAATGGATGGAGTCGGCAAGAACAACGGCGAGAACAGCCATCAATTAAGATGAGGAGAGGCGGAGACGGCGTGAACATTGAATCCGCTTTCCACGTTGCTCTACAATCATGGTTGGATTATGATTTTAATTTAGGTCACTTAGGGAAATAGTTTGATATAATAGGTTGTTTCAGAAAAACAACTCTCAATTGCTGTTAGTCTTTTTGACAAATGTTTATCGGATTATTAGAGAGAACATATTTTAGTCCAATATGCTAAACTTAGTAATGGCAAATCAATTATGGCTCTTCACTTATAAATCTATTGAAAAACCCGAAATTAAACTGCTTAAACTAAACTCCTAAAATTGTGAGAAAGAATTCCTGAACAACACAAACTAAGAAAGTGATATAATCTCATCTTCACCATTTCACCTTAGACTGAAACGAACAAAAGTGTTACGCACAGTTTCTATACATCGTTTCCCTGAGGGGAAAAAAATAAAGCATTTATGGAATAGAGTTTTATTTTAATGAGGTCGGCAAGTCGCCGTACCCGATTCCCCTACGAGTAGTCGGAAAAATCACAAACAAAAAGCTTGACAAAACTCCAGCTCCTAAGGGTAAATTCATCATCAAAGCATCAATATCTCCTCCCGGGGGAAAGAAGCAACTCTGGACATCAGAATCACTGAGAGCAAATATCAAGAACACGAAAAGTGACACAAACGCGTGCACGAAATCGATAAAACATATCCTAAACCTCGATAATGCTTTCCTTTCTTCTTCCTCTACCGCTTTGTCATCATCACCACAACAGTCGCTCGACTTGTTTTTGTTAAAAATGTACAAACCCTTGAAGGTCGCGATGCCGTAACACAATTTCCCCTCGCAATCGATGAAACTGTCGGTGAATGAGGAGAAGAAGCAGAAAATCGCGCAGCATCCGATAAATGATGCCGTGAGAACTTTGTTTGGGATCCGGCAGTTTCCTCTGTTGGCAAACGAAGGCGTCAGAGTTCGGAATGCTAAGACTGTGCCGGTCGGCAAAAGGTTTGCGAGATTGGCTGCAGTGGCTAGGGTTTTGTGAACAGGATGATTGGAGGATATTGAACATTTGATATGGCAAGTGTTTTTAGGAATTGAGGTTTCTTGGTGTACTGTGGATATTTGGGATTGTTGCTCCACACATAATGATTGATTCATCATGGTTTGAATCGGAAATAGCTAGATAATAGAACTGTGGTATTGGGTGTTATTATTTTAGTAATTTTTATATGATTTTTTTTTTTTTGTTATGTTTGTTATGAATGATGTAGGGTATTTATGGATATGTTTGGAAAATACGTAAGATAGCGCAAAGTAGTCACGTTAGCCATGTGACAATATGGGGAACCTTTTCCAAAAGTGTAATTGCATGGATTTATCCAAAGAAAATTTAAATTTTTTATTCGTGAGTCGTGACTTAGAAGCAAGCATGAATTTCCATTTTTTGCAGATAAAGGTGGAAAATGGAAAAAGATTGGTACATTACGAAATTGAGAGTCCAATAAGTAATTAAATCAATGGATGAACAACAAACTTACCTTGGTGGCTTGGTTGCGTCCGACATTCTTTTTCACATAATTATAATAAAGATTGCATTTTTTTCCTCAGAATATTCTAATCCAGGAATTTAAATTTTGTTCAAGGGACCAAAAAGTAAAAAGATTTATTTTAGTTGAAAAAAGCAAACGGTATGATGCCGTAAAATAAGTGAACCATCAATCAAAAGACGAGTTATACTAATTATATAGTCTGCCGCCATTTTCTGGGTACAGAGTAAGTAGGTCAAAACCTTCCAAATCAAATTACAAAGCTTTGAACGGAAATTCATTTGATTAGTTGCTCAAAATTTTTCATTATTGATTACATGATTTTTTTTTTTTGAAAAAAAAAAAAGAAAAACCCCAAGCAGACCTAGCACTTTCAATTTTTATTAAGAGTTGTAGTTTCATACATCCCTTTCTAAAAAATAAAAAAAAAACAAAGAACATGAAGTTGCATGTGGATCCATATTTCTGCGGTGATCAGATGAGGAAAAAACATGGATAAGAGTAAGTTCTCGTGGGTTAATAAATGATGTTTAGTTGGATGGATGGTACCGTTGGTCTATTCACCTGGATGGAGCTTTCTAATGATGAATATTTCAGTTCTACGGGTAAGAGCTTTTCAAATGAAGGCTTACATAAATACCAATCACTCTGTTAACTTTTGTGTACTATTTCGTACATTTCATAATCCACAACCCAATAAAGATATTTGAAAATATTTGAATATAAGATTAAAATAGATTAGGAATATCGAATACGAATAAAATGTTCAATAGCTGATTCTAATTTATCTCTAACGAACCGTTATTTATGATTTGTAACTAGTTGGTTTCAACGCGCTTCGCGCGGACCTTAATTTTAAATTTAATAAAAACAATGGAAGATTATAAATTGATGAAAAAATAAAAAGAAATGTAGAAAAATGATGTTAAATTAATAATTCTATTGAATGAATTCAATATTACATGTGCCACTACAACACGATTAAAAATCTTGTATTTACCTAAAAATACAAATATGCAACTAACAAAATTTTTTTCTACATTTAGATTAAAATACATTTCAATACATGTATAAATCGTAATTGTGAAAAATTACACTTCAAAAAAAATATTCTATTTTCAATTAACAAACCTAAACCAACACATGAAAGTGAACAATACTTACTCTAATATGTACTTGAACTTCAATTCTCAAGTTTGGTTTAAATTCGATTCTAAAACTTGCCCTTTTTCTTTTTCTTTTCTTTTGATTTTTAAAATTCATATTATGGTAGAGCTTTCTATTCTTCTTACTGTGATAGTGGCATCTACAGGAGTATAAAAACATCCCTGCAACTGTGATTGTAGTGAAATGCAAAAGCAATAAAAAAATTATTACCTAACCATTCAAATGTTCAACCAAATAACTTTCATGTATATGAACACTCAAAATATGGAGAAAAAATATAAGAGACTAAATTAATCCAATATTGAAAAGTAAATAATACCGAAACGTAATATGCATAATATAAAAGATATCTGAGATGCAAAAAAAGATTTAAAAAATATTCAAATTATTTCAATTCTCTAAATACTTTTTACTTCACTGCAAGAAAAAGGTGATATGAAGGCACTCCATAGTGTCTACATAAGTATGCTATGGTGACATGAAACTTTTAAAATCATTGACCACTTGTGTGGTATATACTCATGTCACCATAGGTTTAATGATTTATTGTGACAATTATTAATGTCCTTAAAAATAATTAAAAAATATTCAAATTATTTCAATTCTCTAAATACTTTTTACTTCACTACAAGAAAAAGGTGATATAAAGGCATTCCATAATGTCTTCATAAGTATGCCATGTTAACATGAAATTTTTAAAGGCATTGACAACTTGTGTGGTATATACTCATGTCACCATAGCTCTAATGATTTATTGTGACAATTATTAATGTCCTTAAAAATAATTAAAAAATATTCAAATTATTCCAATTCTCTAAATACTTTTTACTTCACTACAAGAAAAAAGTGATATAAAGGCATTCCATAGTGTCTTCATAAGTATGCTATGTTGACATGAAATTTTTAAAGGCATTGACAACTTGTGTGGTATATACTCATGTCACCATAGCTCTAATGATTTATTGTGACAATTATTAATGTCCTTAAAAATAATTCTTTATTTTATTATTTAATATTTTTTTTACCATTTAATGTCAAGAAATTTAATTAAATTTTTACTATTTATTAACTTTTTATTATATAATTATTCTATTATATAATAACTCAATGTTTGGAGGAGAAGAATTATGGTCATAAGGAAGTAGTGTAGACTGAAAAGTGGTATATTGTTTGTTGTTGTAGCTGCCTGCATATATCACATTTAGGAGGAACAAAATGCCTGAATTTTCACAAGGAAAATAAGAAGTGAGCATACCCTGTTGCATCATCCACAATGAAATACAATGGAGATTCGAAGATCTTGAAAGTAGGAAAATGTCTTGCTCAGAGTTGAGTATTTTAGTGCAATATTTAAACTGTTGAATTGTAAATAGTGATAGCCTATAGACGATATATAGTTGAAGTACTAGTGGCTTTTTGGGCTTGTAAATATGCACTGCTTTAGTTATAAGGCATCAATATATTTACAATTTACCAAAAAAAATAACTTTTTCACCATGTAGTGCCATTATAGCTAATTAACTTTCTACTGCTTAAGTGCCATAATAGATCATTTTATAAAGGTATTTCGAAATGACAACGCACATTACAACCCAATTTTTCAATATGAAAAGTAATTCGCAAAATAAGAAAAATAAATGCTATTCATGATTCTATACAAAACTTGAAAATTTTAAAAAAATAACCATAAATATTTCATGTTCAAGAAACATATTATAAATGACTGAATCATTTCTTCTTATTATCCAAAATGCATAAACAAATGTCGATTAACATCTATTTAATTATCAATCATTAGAACAAGTTACAATATAAAGAAATAAATAGTGTATTATGCAGACCTATATATAAAGCTAGTATTACTATTGGAGGTGTTTTTAGCTTGCCCAGTTTGTACATCACTATTAAGCTCTCATGTGATCTCTTCTCTTACCTGTTGTGCATGCTCATCTGTAATTAGTTTGTCCATCATAGGGCCATCAGAGACACCTAAAAAAAATCAAATGTAAAGTATGTCCACCTCCATAGGGAATCCAAATCAGATAACAAAAATCAAAGACTTCTAATTGTCCGCGTAACTATTGATTAACTGTGAAGAAGCTTACTTAATATTAGAATGCAGCTACATAACTTTGAAAGACAGGATATACATCTACCTAGATGAACTCTAAAGACAAACCATTTGTAGAGCTATGCTACAATCAGAATGTAATCAAAGAAATGAAATGGAATGGAATCATATACATTATGCTCACTTAACTGGAGAGTAAACTATATGATTCCTCTTCATGAAATTAAGAAGCAATGAGATAGTAGACATTAGGGAGAAAATCCAAGCACAAAGGGCTAACATCAAAGAGATTATCAACCCAAAGAGTTCTATTTAAAGTGTAAAAGTTTAGAGAGAACAAAAGTGAGAAAAGAAAATGGAATTAATTAAAAGGAAGATGAAACAAAACTTGTAACTCTAGGGATTAAATGAATTTCATAATGAAACCATTATTAGAGGATTGGAAGAAAAATAAAGAATGATATTAAGGATAAACCATTATTAGGGGATTGAATGAAAAATTAAAAAAAAATCATAATGATGATGGTAAATTAGAGGAAACAGGGAAAGTTGAACATAAAAGGAGAAGAAGAAACTTATACATGTGATGGTATACTATCAAGAATTTGTCTAAACTCACTATTTATATATATAGTAGATAGTAGATAATTACATATGAAGTGAGAATAATAACTAGAAACTTTAATTAAATTAATTGTTTAATTAATGATCTACTACGATTATTGAATATGTTGGTAGCAAATAACGAGACTTGAGATAATTCATCGATTAATTTTAATTAAACGTATAAATTCGGGACTGAGTTATGATTGTGTGGTTACAAAAGGTAGTTCTAGAAACTAATTTTGATCTTCGTAGGTAATACGCGTTTCCAACCGGGGTAGATCATGTACGCTGCTTTTTTTTTTGGGTAAATATGTTAATTGTATTTCATTCTGCGATCTTGTGGATTGTACATCATCTAGCCTCTATTACATTAATCTGTCAGACAATGAATTCAAATTGCTCTTAGTACCTAATATCATACTATCCTTACTGTAATTTTGAATTTTCCAAGTTATCTCCATAACTCTTCTACTAAATCTGTCTTCTTCTATCATCTTTTTGCTGTCCGAATTTCCTAGTATTTCTCTCTATCCAAATATGGTAGATCACAACAGTAATTCCAGCAAAGTACATTCGTCTTCTCAGCTTTTTGTGTCTCCAAATCTTCAACAACTTAGGAATGCTTCTGTGCAGGATTTTAACAAAAATCTTCAGTCAACCAATCCATACAAACTTTAACACATTTGTGAGTAATCGCATTTGAAAAGAGATGTTCAAAGCTCTCTTCATTACTTGCACATAGCTCGCATTTGGAAGGCTCTTTTAATATTCCATTTTTCTCCAACCTTTCCAGTGTCAATAGCAAGTCTTTCATAGGTAGCCAGCATATGAAGCTTTGGCAGGCTATATGGATTCCGGACTACTTCTATTGCTCTGCA